GTTTGAGCTAGAGCGATAGGGGTGTGAAGGAAGAGTGTTTGGGACAGAGTACTATGAAGGGAGGATGCGTGACTGTGACGAAATGAGCGCGAGGTCTTCAATGCGGTCGATTCCATGGAGTCGACACTCTTCAGGAGCTCACTGGCGTAAGTTTTACGTAAGTATACCGTTTATATAAGGAACTTAATACGCGAAAGGACACGATTTACAAGATATACAGAGTTTCAATATTGAATCGAGGTTTGCTGGTTGTGCAGAGACTGATCTTACAATGGAAATTGGTTTGGTTACAATTATACATAACTTATGGTCTAAAGATGGAGGAACTGCTGACTAATTGCAAGGATACAAGAGTTTAGGCTGGTTTGGAAAGTTGAGGAAAACAAGGGATGAGTGTTTTGTGCGAGCAATGCGTAAAAATTAGTAAAAAACAAGGTGGCCAAGGCTTGAGATTAGGTTGACTCTCACAGGACCACTAAAAAATTTCGAGCGGAAGTGACTGAATGTTGGTTAAGAATATCTGGCTAGAACGAAAGGAATGGGGAGCCAAAGAAAGAGAGGATGTGGGGGTGTGAGGATAAGTGAGGGTGAAAGAATAGTGTCGAGAGTTGCGAGCGTAAATTGTGAGAACAGCGAAAAACAATAATAATAATCGATTACTAGATATTTCACTGAAGATAGTTACCTGCAAAGCATTACGCTTGTCAAACAGAGAAAATATTCTGTCGATCAGCAAATGACGAATATTCTCCGTGAAATCGAACCCTAAATGAAAGAGATCTCGAAACACCAATCTAGTCATCGTACCCTGCGTTTGTATGCATTTACGATGAATAATCGCCAAGGCTGTTCAACAAAATAAACGAATCCAATGGAAAGCTTACGAAAAAAATTGTACAATTTGAAAAGCGTATAACCTTCAACTTCCCTCAAATTGAAATGCGTGGTGCGTGCCAATCTTTTGAACTTATTCTGATTTTTCGATCTGAAGGCGATCTCCTTCAGAGTGTCATTTAGCATATCAATTGGCTCTTCCGTAGGCATTTTGTCTTCTGTTCTACTTGCAAATTTTAATTACCAAATTTGGGAAGAATTTTACGCCGTGAAGAGTGTCACATTTATTGCGAGTAAAGTGTCTGCGATGCTATCGCAAAATCTAAAGCAATCTGTACAGATTACGCCCTAATTTCATAGCGCTGAGTCTGTCACGCTGATAGCGTTGATATATGTTAAATTTACGGTGTTAGATAGTTTACGTTCAACGATAATTTGCAATG